AATCTCCATTCCTTTGCCCAGCTCTGAGGTTGGTTCAGGAATCTGAGAATTACATCTGCAGTTGCTGTGGGCAGTATACTTTGAGCCAATTTAATCTTTAATGTGAGGGATTAAGGGACTGGCTAAATCGACACTCCTTCCCAGTGAAGGAGTAATATTTCTGTCTGGTGGTTTCATCCTCCTGGATTTTGATGAGAAAGCTTTTGAATATAACTGTCTTCAAAACTTCTTCTCTTGTCAGTCATTAACTCCTAGTTGCAGGTATAAGCTTCATGATTGAAGCTGATGCAGGTTTTTAAGCCAATGGTAGTCAAATGTGGAAAATTCTTCATTTATTCCACTGCCTCCCTGAGGGTCTGTTTTGTACTCCTAAGGTAGTGATGGACTCAATGAATAATTCAGTGGAAGATCATAAAGGAACACTGCCATAAAGAAAATATTTTGATTTTTGTTGTGGGGTGTTTTTTTTTTTTTGTTGTGTTTTTGTTTTTTTGTTTGGTGTTTTTTTACCTACTGGAGATTTTGCATTATTCTTATGTGATCTTGGCATGACACTTGAATTTATTTTATATTATTGTCCATGCCATTGGTAGGTATCTTGTAAAGGCAAGTGAGCCTTCTTTGGGTGATGTTGAGTACCACTGATTATAACACAAGGGGAAGTACCAAAGATCTTGCAGCTAAAACCAATGACCTAACATATTCTCTAAGGAGGAGTTTTCTTTCCTGTGTCTCTTGAAATGCTGCTTTGGACAATTGGGTGTTGGAGGGCTGGCTTCTTGAAAAGACTTCTGGCTTCAGAGGAAACATGGTATTTCGGACATTTCATATAGCTAAATCCCAGAAGAAATTCAGCTCTCAGTAGTTGCTAACCAACGCTGCATGAAATGTCCACCTTGGGAAACACAATCAAGCTTTAATTTTTCTTTCTGATCACTCTTCAGTTTTGTTTGATAGCTGGGAAATGTTTCTCTTCCATTTACAGGAGGAATTTGTGAAAAAGAGAGGAGAAATATATATAGTAGGTAACTTTAAAATAGTAAAAACTGTACGGATCTGTATTCTGCAACAAATACCATCGAATTGCCATGCCTTAATAGGATACAGTTTCATCTGTAGAAGTGTCAAGAAAATGGATAACACTGGTTTCCTAAAAATTTCACCTCCTTGCATTTTCAAAAAACATTTTTAAATCTCTTCCTTTCTCCTCTTCAGCTAGCCAATTAACCTCATTCTTCTTGTGATATAATTTTGTCCTCTGTGCTCTTCTCACTCACTTCCTCTTTTTTCCTCCCTTTTTCTGAGCTGCAGTTGTTTTGGGTTTTGGGGATTTTATTTTTTGGGGGTTTTTGTGGTTTTTTTAAAGAACAATCTATTTTTTTAAAAGTAAACTGTCTCCTGTCTTGCTCATTAATGATTGTTCCTTACTTAGACTTTTCCTGGCTGCCCTCTCTTGGTAGTTTTCTTTCTCTTTTGTTTTCTTTTTTTTTTGAGATTTTTTTTTTTGTGGTTTTTTTTTGCTTTTTCCTACTTTTCCCCCTCACTACAAGAACATTCAGGTGCTGGAGCAGGTCCAAAGAAGAGCAGCGAAGCTGGTGAAAGGTCTAGAGCCCAAGGCTTAGGAGGAGTGGCTGAGGGAGCTGGGGTTGTTTAGCCTGCAGAAAAGGAGGCTCAGGGGAGACCCTATAGTTCTCTACAACCTCTGAAAGGAGGTTGTAGCAAGCTGGGTGTCAGTCTCTTCTACCGCGTAGCAAGTGATAGGACAAGAGGAAATGGCCTCAAGTTGCGACAGGGGAGGTTCAGATTGGATATTAGGAAAAATTTAATCACTGAAAGGGTTATCAGGCATTGGAACAGGCTGCCCAGGGAAGCGGTGGAGTCACCATCCCTGGAGGTATTTAAAAGACGTGTAGATGTGGCACTTAGGGACATGGTTTAGTGGTGGACTTGGCAGTGTTAGGTTGATGGTTGGACTCTGATCTTAGTGGTTTTGTCCAACCTAAATGTTTCTATGATTCTGTGGTGCCAAGAGTTGTACTGCAATGTCCATGGTTTCTGCCTTTAAATATTTGTTTCCCCCAAGCAAAATTTAACCATCATACCTGGTAATTGTGAAATGTCTGGTGGATCTGCAACTCTGTGAATTTGTGAGGGAGAAGAGGAGGAAGGTAATAGGGTGCAGCCACTTCATGAGCATTAATGACAGACCTCCATTTGAATTAAGGTTGTGTGGGCTTCGTGACTTCCTCAATACTTTTCTTTCCTTGGTAAAATAACAGTTGTGATAGAAATGTGAATCAAACCACCAGTGTGCTCTGTAGACATACAAAAGTATTTTCAGTCTAGAGCAGTGTGTTAGGTTTCTCTCCCTGCTATTGTTTTCACCAGATTATGAAGTGAACGTGTCCATTCCCAGCTTATTTCTCCTCCGTAACCACAATGATAAAGGAAATAACATGAAAATCGTGCCCGTATCAGCTGTATTTATAGCATTTTACTTTGGAACAGGGTATGAGTCGCAAAGTTGTGTAAACAGTATTACAAATACAATAATGAATGTTGTAAATCTGTTGCCAAGATTAGGAATGATTTCTCTTTGGGTATTTGTAAGAACCTCTTTTTTTTTTCTTTCCCCTTTTCCATTGCTGTTTCTTGCAGAAGATCGGTATCTGTCAAATTTGCCTACAGATATTTAGATGTAGTAAAGGGCCTTCCATCTTCCTTCCTTGCAGAAGTGTAACATGTCAGCTCTGCCTTATTTTGCACAGCAATTGCTGAAAGATGCTGATTGCAAAGAGTGTGTCTGAGAATCATTTCAAAGCTGCTTTACATATTGATTACTCAAATTGCCATTTAATTTGCCGTATAGCAATACACAGTGCCTTAACTATTTCTCTGACAACCTTATTGATTGCTGTAATTCTGCCTTACATTATATGCATATATAGTGTCACCATTAAATATTTATGTGCTCATGAAATGTTAATATGTCGGATTAATGTGAAACTCAAGAAAATGCATTTGCCAGGAGCAATGAGGAATGCTGCTCCAAGTGCTTCCCTTCCCCTCCCCCTTACCCTTTCATTTTGCCTCTCCATTGATTTTATTACCAGTGTTTCTCAGCTGTATCTAAATCTGTGTCAAAGCAGCCCTCTGCTCCCATATGCAGATTTGATGTTTTATTATGCGAGAGATAAAACACAATAATAAAAAAATGATAAGTGATCTCAGGGAGGTGTTGAGACACATCTTTACATTGCGTTGGTGCTACTCTCTCACCGCTCCTGCGTTTGGGTATGGAGATGTCGCACTATCCTCCGTGAAAGGGACTGAAGCAGGGTGACTTGTCCAGAATGCAAAGTCATATTCTCATGTTCCTTGAACAGTGGCTGCAGCAACGGAAAACAAAAATTGCAGGGCTGTTCCTTTGACTGGTACAGCTGCTATCCAGAGATGACATGGAACAATTAGATGTAATTTGAACGGAAACATTTAGAAGGATAGGTAACTCCTCTTGGCAGACAGGTGGACATGATTCTGACAGCATCCTGTTGGAAAAGCCCAGTAAAAATTTGTGGCGGTCAAATATATCGTATTCCTAATGACTTTCTAAGTTTCTGTGGGATGTCTAGGTGATTTAAAAAAACAACAACACTGTAAAACAAAAGAAAATTATCATCCACTCTCATAACACAGCGAGTAACCATCCTTTTACATCCCTGGGTGATGTATAGGTTTGGCATGCTATATGAAGCATGTAAAATTTGTATTTGCTTCTGGGTTTTCACTCATTTCCCACTTTTACCTTTAACTGCTTCATAGAGAAGGCTTCTGCACATCAGAGTGTGTGAAACAGTCACAACTAAAACCTGGGGAGTGTGGGGAAGGATTTGCTGGCATCCAGCGTTGCATCGGTCCTCTCCTCCACTGTGTTGTTTGGAGGGAAGTTCCAGCCTTGGAGCCTTTTGTAAAGCTTTCTTTGCTGCCAAAATGGAACTATTTAGAACAAACAAGCAAACAAAAACCAAACAAAAATACCACCAAAAAAAATCTGGACAGACAAAAAGCATGATGAAGGTGGGAGCTAAGAAGACAGGAGGAATGCAAAGGAGACAGTAATGTCTAAACACCAGTTTGTGAAGAAAATTTAGAAAGCCTCTGAGGTTCTCTTGTGCTTAGCAAAATCTCTTACCTTTGAAATTCATTTTCTTCCTCTGTCCCTCACCCCCAGGCTATGCAGCAGCTGTTTAGGATTGTTTTGTTTCTTTTTTTAAAGCTGGTGGCAAAGTTTGTTACTACAAAGACAGTTCTTACTGTGAATCTGTTTTGACAATTTATTTTTTTTTTTCCCAGCCCCTATTTTGCTCTCTTTTCAGGCTCACAGCTTCAATGATATCTAGTATTTTTATTACTGATTTTTTAATCTGCAGTGAAATACTGTATCTGATTTGGCAGAGCTTAGTGGGTATAAAAACGTCCAAGGAATTACTGTCTGACATTTATTTTGCAGTGTCACTCAACAAAGGCTCTCTTTGACTCATTTTTTGCAGCATTCATAAGCTTGATGCAAGAGTGATCCCTGACATGTTTTGTACACAAGTGCAAGTTTCTTCCATAGTAGATAAAATGCACACTTTTTTTTTTTCCTTTGCGGACTTCAGTTTGATTTTTGACACTTGGACATTTTTGGTGCCTGAATCCAAAAAGCAATTTTGGTCCCACTTGTTTTTTATAGTTCCTTCTGGGTGTGTCCATGTCTATAAATCATTATATCTAATTTCCTTTAACTGACAAATTTGAAATGGAACTATTTCTTTCTCTTTGGCTTCTCCTGCATTTTCTTCAAGCCAGGGGGTTGGTGCAGGACAGCAATGTTGCATAGGAGTGCGTAGTTTCCTAAATTCAGCCTGGTATATCTTGTAAATGTTGGGTGTGGAGGACAGTATTTCAACTCTTGGGTTCTTCGAACTGATGATGTTTTGTTTTGATTCCTTCTTCAGATTGTCCTGGAGAACAGCAGTCGAGAAGACAAGCATGAGTGCCCATTTGGCCGGAGTAGCATTGAGCTGACAAAGATGCTGTGCGAAATACTGAAAGTAGGAGAGCTACGTAAGTTACCTGTTTGTTCGACCTCTAAGGACCCTGGAGTGACTTCAGTGATACCTAGAGTCTATTTCAGTACAAGAATTTTCTTCCATAAATAATTTCTCAGGATGATTACATATTGTACACTGGCACTCAAAATAGCCATGTCTGTTTTTCTGTCTCTTACTAGTTTGTGGGCGGGCATACCAGGGCTGAGGGTGGAGTAAGGAAAGTGAGCACCAGGTCTTTGAATCTCCTCTGTATAAAACAGGGCAGTTGCATCATTTTCAGAAGGGTCAATTTCCCATCGCGTGATTTGATGCAGTAAACTTCATGGTCTTACCATTCCACAAGCTTGTCTGTAGGTTGGTGTTGTGTGAGTATCATAGTCATTTTCTGCGGGACTGCTACATCCCATTTTATCTTAGATATCTAAAGCTCTATCTAAATACCAGATGATATATGTATCGTTTACTCGAAGTGTGATACGAAATACTGTGTTTTAATCCAGAGTAAACAAGCTGTCTTTGGCTTTGATTACAGTCCCTTGACAAATTTTTAGATACTATATCAAACAGAAGAGCGTGTCTGTATCTTCATTAGTCTGGAGTGTTGGTGTTTGACTCTATCAATATATATAAACTCCAGCTACCCATCAAGAATGTTTTGGATCCAGCTGCAATCTGTTTTGGCAAGCACTACCATGAGCTTCATTTTCTTGTTGCGCAAGCAGGGGCCACAACTGAGATGCTTTGTTTCCTTCAGAGACATTTTCTTCCTTTTGAATTTTTTACCTAATAAAGAGATTTCTTTTACCTTTACACCCAAGTCCACAAAATGTAACGAGAGAAGAGCAATGCAAAAGGCAGCGAGAAAGCCGGCAGGTGTCATTGGTTCTTGTTTCTACCAGCTCTGCAACAGAAGTCAAAAGCTCTGTTTTAAAAGTATGATTGGGCTGTTAAGACATCTAAAACTTTTAGAGGCAGTGTCTTGAGAGAATTTATTGACCAAAGGAAAAAATCTATCTCTGTGCAATGGGCCAGGATAAAACCTGTGCATTGCTTGCAGTTTCCAAATTGACAGTATATGACAGACCCAGATGAATTATATGATCTTTAGTTTTGAATACCATCCTAAGTAAACCAGAGTTATAAAGGAGCACATTCACTGTGTCTGTAAATAGTTTAGCAACTATTTTGGATGTGGTAATGGTAATGTGTTGTGTAAGGTTCGGACTGTAGCAGTTATGTCTCCCTTGTAATAACCATACTGCTGCAGTTGGGGTGTCTAATGCCAAATCATGCCTGATAGGTCTGTCTGGATTTTTCTGCTGCGAAATGTGGGAGGGACATACCAGCTCATCAGAGCTGTAAGCCTGTTTGAATTAAGTGCTAAAGATCAATTTTATTTTTACAAATGCACAGAAAAATATCTGCAATCCAAAGTATGTCTTTGAGCATAGGGGCTTTGTGTATGTCCCATCACTCTATGGGACTTAACCTGCACCTCGCTGGTAAGAAAGACGATTGATCCAGAGGTTAGCCAGGTGTCTCAGACTTCTTCCTTGCTGTGTCATAAGAATTCATTCAATAAATAAACTTCTTTGCCACTGATGTGTTTTTTGTCCACATGCAGGGGGCTATTAGTATGTAGATGATTTGCCGCATATGGTACTGGTTATACTGGTTGCTTCTAACTTCTGCAGGTTGCTCTTTTCATGTTTTAACTTCTTCATATGTGGTCTTTTAAAGTGGAGACTGACTAAGAGGATTTGGGGTGGGGGCTCAGTTACCATATGAAGAAAATATGAAAGGAAAGCTATTTTTGCTACCTTAGCTTTAGAAACAAAATGAATTGTCTTATTTTGTTTGTTTGGTTGGTTTTTGGGGTTTTTTTGTTTGGTGCTTTTGTGGGGGTTTTTTTTTGTTGTTGTTGTTAGAGTAGCTCTATGGTTTGAAAGTGTAGGGTTAGAAAGAAAACTGCAAGTTGGATGCTGGGTGTGCTGGTTCGCAGCAGGTTCTCGTGCTGTTCTGTCATTGTGTGACGTACAGAGAAGATCTGATGCTGAGAAGTACACTGGTGCTTCTGTTGATAGAAACCAGATGTAGCAGGACTGACTTCTGTGAAGTCGTGCTAATCTACACCTACAGAGCATCTGTCTCTAGATGCAGCAAGAGGATTGTGTTGTAGCCTTATCTTCCCAGGGGACAGAGTTAAGGTTACCTCTAACTCATCTTGATGATTCACCTGTTCACCAGTATGTTTCCTTAATGGTTTTGTTTCTGTGGAACTCTAACTGTCATTTTAAAAGGTTGTAATAAAATACACCTTTCAAATAATGTGCAGAAAACAGATTTATTGAAAATGGCTGGGACAGATGTGCATCTTAAATGACCTGTGATCGGTTGCATATTTTGTTGAGAAGTACAGACTGGAACTGACATCTTAGGAAAATACACAGTCAGGTTTATTCTTCACTTGAAAATAAATGCTGTATTGCTGGATAGGATTGGACACCTTAAAAATCAGCAGTTACAGTTTAGGGCAAAGGTGTCTCTGGTGGTTGTATGTGTTAGGTTTCAAAATATGTATTTAGACTGCCAGTATTTCTTTAGAAATTCAGAACTAGGCATTATTTCATTAGAACATAGAACTTTTTTTTAACAGTTCCCGAATTGTGTAAATTTAAAAGCCACAATAAATTACCTTTTTCTCATGAAATATTCAGCAGTAGAAATTTTCTTGAAGTGCAGAGTAGATAAAAGCAGCTAAACTGTCCATTATTTATGAAGAGCACTTTACTGCTGATTATATTCCCCTTGCTCCAACGTATTAAATACCTTCAGGCAACAAGAAGACATTTCACCATTTCTTTTTGGTGCTTTCAAACATACATTCACCCCACAAAAGTGTTAAATGCATGCCACCTCTTCTGCTTTTGTATTTCCCCAAATCCAAGTACTGGACTTCTAAATTCTTTGACTTGACTTCCAAAATGTTCATGACTTGGAAATTCATCTATTCTTGAGCAAAGTATTTAGGCGTATTTTTAAATCTTGTGTAAGGAAAGTTTAAGTGAGTTAAGTGTATGATAACTGCTTTACAGGGGTGGACTTGCAGAGCAGAGGAGCTGAAACTTAAGAGAAAGGTTGGTGTAGTGTTTCAAGTAACACGGAAGTTAGAATGAAACATAAGCCTCATGAAATCTCTGAATCAGGAAAGACTGGGATATTTGACTATCAATCTTTTATTCTCATGTTGCTGTTAATAAGGCATTGAAGAGAAAGGTTTTACTGAAGCACTCATCTTGGCAAAGATTATGGTAATTCTGATTTCTCCAGTAATACATCTTATACATCTTGGCTAATGAGTTGATTTGCTTCTTGTCCTCTTGTGTCTTGGAGCTGACATCAGCCAGTAATGCTTACCCCAGCAATCAATCCTCCTTCTATAGGGTAAGGCATGTGAATGCTCCATGTCCCTGGTACACTGTTAAGTTTACAAAGAGCAGAAAGATCAGGACATTCATATTTCCTCCTTAGTACCTATGAAAGGTAAGGTAGCCTGTCCTCCATCTTCCGTGTTCTTTGTCAAGTTTCAGGACATGACATAGAGCTCAGGGAAGAAGGAATACCCACGTTAACAGACTCCTGGCTTTGCCGGGAGGCAGTAACATTGCAGATAAATATAAAAATTAAAAACAAGATCCAAAAGACCTTCCAGAACTGGAATTTGTAAATTAAATGGGAAATTTGGAGTTCATTAAAACTTAGTATTTGTCATAAGGGAGAACTGGAGCTCAGCATTTTGCCCAAGTGGCCCTTATGCTCTCTGCTCTGTGCCTATGATGTACCTCTCTGCTCAGCACATGACACTGTTCCTACCTCAAAACCCCTTCAAAGTCTCATTCTTGGTGGAAGGTGGTACTAGACTGTGTTACCTGATTTCTGCGGAACTGGTACAGCTTCCCAGGCTTGTTGTCTTATTTCCATACAGGTTCAAGTGAAATTGTTTTGTGTTGAAGCTGGTGAGGGGGCTTGTAGCTGATGGATGAATGATAAATTAGTGTTGTGTGCACTAAGAAAAGACTCCTACCACTGGAGCTGCAGCCTAAAGATGTTCATAAGCCAATATTGTTTTGTGCATGAAGTTATTCTATAGTTAAGGGATGTCAGACTTTGAGTATTTTTCAGTGTATTTTTGAGCAGGACACAGATGTTGAACTGCCAATATTCCCATTTGGTTGTTTTGATGGGTAGTGTTTAGGGGCTTTTGCAAAAATGTGTGTTCAAGCTTGATGACAGACCACCGGGGTATATGCCACGTCAGATGTATGTATTGTCCTAAAGCTTCTGCCAGATAAACAAATTCTTAATTGGGTCGTCTTGCTTTTCTGTTGAGGGGAATTTAATTGCCGTGGGGTTTTGTTAGATTTGATCAATTTATCATTTTTTTTTTCTCCTTGAAAGAGAAGATCTAAATGCTAATGTATTATAATGCCCTTGATGCCATTTGTACATGCTCTTGCTATAGATTTCTCCTTGCAATTATTGCCCAGGTTGCAGAATTGAAGTGGTCTAGAAATTCTTCCATTCTTGTCCCTTTATCAAACAGAACGTGCCGGGCATTAGAAGGTGCACAGTGATATTCATGGTTGTGCCCGCTGAGATGAAGGTAATCAAATCTCATGCTTCAAGGAGTAAGCTGAGTGCCGCAAGGGTCAGGAAGCACTTTTTCGTCTTTGAACAATTTTTCCTCTGCATTGCACAATCCATAGTGTGCAGTGTAGTTTGTTTCTATTGGTCTTGCCCTGAAAGGATATTAGTCACTGCAGGATCAGCATTTTAGACCTGAGGGCTCGCCTGGTTTGATTTTCCTTTCGCTACAGCAAATCCAATATTTTTATAACTGAACGTTGTATTTTAATTTTTTCCCCCTTGCTCTAAAGCTAAATGCCTTTTCACGTTCCTCTTCCTCCTCCTCTTTAATTTAGATAGAGTAAAGCCCCAGAAATGGTAAATAAA